CCCAGGCGGCCTATAGTTCATCTGAAGACAAGAACCCTTCCCGCGACTACATATCCAATTTTTCTAGAAAACCACGCTGTTAAAAAGTGGGGAGGGGAAGGACAAGAGGAATAGAAACAAATGAACAAAGGGCTTCCTTGTGTTTCCTAATAAATCCCGGGGGCAGGCCTGCTACCCTACACCCTCACCTCCCCCCCCAAGCACAGGAGCACCCCCACGTCTTCCTAACCCTCAAGCGAAGCACGCAAGTTAGAAGAGCTTCTGGAGATCCCTGGATCTGCAGCGCCCTGTTCGTAAGCACGACCAGGGTTCTCCTGGCGTCGGCGTCTGCCTCTGCTCCAGTCCCCAGTGCTGCCTGCACAAAGCTCTGGGTCTTATTTCAAGGATTCATCTGCTCCAATTTTGTATCCTACTCAAGGTCTTGACCCTTAGCTGAATTTCAATTAGTTGCCCTGAGGATCCTGGAGGAGGCTCATTTCAGGGGAAAATGCCTTCTGCGAGGCAGCGCCAATCCAGCCTGTAGAGCATCGATGAATTTCAGCTGACAACTGCCACTGCTCATGTGGCTCAGAGAAATGTCTTTTGCAATGGTCTATATTTGCCGTACTTGAGACAAGTCTCTCCATAATTCTGAAATTGTTTCTCCCTAATCTCATTTTTAAGACAATCACTGCTGAGTAAGTTTTCTTCCAAAGCTGCCTTGAGAATTGCTTCTTGGAACAAGAATAATGATTGCTTGTCTGAAAAACGCAGGTTGCACACTGCGGGCTGATGTGCAGGCCAGAGGGGGCAGGAGGCGAGTTTTCCTCTGGGTTCTAAGCGTGATTCATTGAGAAAATGGGGCAGCAACAGGGCCGTTGGTCTTCACCGTTATCTGTGAAATGGGACAGCATTTGGTCTCCGCTCATTCTTATTGGGGTGTGGGGATGGCACCACACTGGATGAAGATTTTTGCTCTCTGGAGAAACAGATGCACTTGGCAGACTGTCACTCTTATAAAATTTACCTTCTCTTTCTCAAGACTGTTACTTTTTTTTTTTATGGGGATGGGGAGGCGGGAGTCACGTTATTTTTATCTCTGAGTATGACATTAAGGAAATTGGGGATTAGAGGAGCAAACCATTATAGTCCAGGACTGGCCGTGCTTGTTAATGAGCTCTTTTTAGCAGGAAGTTTGCTCTTTAATACAATGGGAAAGTAATTTATTGAAAAGTGTCCTTGGGGACAGAAAGGAGTAACGCACTTCTGCAGATGTTTCATGGAACCAGCAGAGGCGAGGAGGGACAAGGCTGTCCTAGGAGCCTGAGGATGGGAGCCTTGTCTCCTCTGCAAACAGTTAGCTGTGTGCTGAGTTAAGCCTACCCACTGCTCAGGCCTCCGGTTTCCCATTTGTAAAATGAGCAGGCTGAGTTACAGTTGTGATTTCCACACATTTTTAAGCCAGGAGAGGTACCTGAACCCCATCTGTACCTATAAGTTTCTCCATACTCCCCACAGTGCTCCCTGAGGCATTCCTGGACCCTCAAGTGCTCTAAGGTGCATGGTGACGTAGCTTAATGACCTTGAAATTCTTTTGTCATTGAACAAAGAGAAATGCTTGTTTCTAATCTAGCTGATGCTTGGTTTCTTCTACCTCTGGAGGGCTCATGCCTTGTGATGCTCAGAGAGGGACCTGCCAAGTGTTGTGGGTCTACCTCCAGGACAGCTGATGCTTCAGAAAACAGGGGACAGGGACCTGAGCCAGAAACACAAAGATGTGGACCAGCATCAGCTACAGAAGAAACTGTTGTGTGTTCCACAGACACATCTATCTCGCTGACTGAAGATGATCCTGTTGCTAGTGATGGTTTTCTATGTGTGTGCATGGAGCTGCCATAGTTCCTTCCTCCCTCCTCCCCTCCTCACTCACTCACTCACTCACTCATTCATTCATTCATTCACTCACTAATTCACCTACTTCTAGACCACAAATGGTCTAGTGAGGAAGAATGACAACGAATAGGTGAACAAACAGCCACGCAATCACACACGGAGAGCAGTGACTAGTGGTAGTGAGGGGGACCTAACTGAAGATGGTGGGAGAGGAGTCAGCTGTGGGAAGAGCTGGGAAGAGCACGTCCAGGTGGAGAGAGCAGCAGGGAAGATCCCCAGACAGGAGCCTGGCGCCTCTAGGACAGAGGGCCCTGCTGCAGGGGCGCACAGAGAGCAAGAGCCAGGGAGTGAGTGCACCCTCACCGCCGTGGCCCTCAGCACCAACCCTGGCAGCGAGCGTGCCCGGGGCAGGCAGCCCGGCCTGAGGGAAGGCTCGGGTGTTGCCTCAAGTGGAGGCTGTTCACGCAGCAGCACAGCACATGGGTTCCAGGAATCACAGGAGCAATGCGCTCTTATTTTCCTTCTCACTGTCCGCCGCGAGCCCTTGGCCTGCGGGCGGTGGGCCCAAGCTGGGAGAAGGCTGAGGCTGGAAGAGGGGACCGGTAAAGGAAGCAGACGACAGGGAGCCAAGGGCAGAGGTAGAGATCATCCACACCCTCACATTGCCAACGGCTATGCACAGATGCGAAAACTCACCAGTGAAGAAGGCAGACAGGAGAAAATGGATTCATTTGGAACATGGCGTTGGAGGAGAGCTCCACGACCGCCAGAAAGATGAACGAGTGAGTCCCAGAGCAAATTAAACCTGAAACATCCCTGGAGGCAAACATGACAAAAATGAAGCTGTCCTACTTCGGGCACATCATGAGAAGGCAGGGTGCTTTGGAAAAGACAATGATGCTGGAAAAAAACAGAAGGTGGCAGGAAAAGAGGAAGACCAAATATGAGCCAGACTGACTCCATAAAAGGAGCGATAGGCATGAGTCTGCAGGAGATGAGCGGGGCTGCTGAGGACAAGACATGGTGTACATCACTCATTCACAGGGTCACCAGGAGTTGGAGCTGATTCAAAGGCATCTTAACCACACACAGCAAGGGTCCTGGGCTTTGAGTCCACAGGCCTGGGTGTTCCACTCACTGGCTGTGTGACCCTGGGCAAGTCACTTAACCCCAACTCCATCAGAGACCCAAGGATTCCCAAGGCCTCCCTCAGAAGTTGTTGTCAAGAATAAATGGGATCATGTACAGGCCTGGTGCATTAAAATAACCCCTAAATGGTGACTGGGCAGGAAACAGTTCAGGTGGGAGGTGAGACAACAGGACATTTGTTTAGTGTTTTACAATTTGCAAAGCCCTTTTACACACAGAAAGGGGAAGACTGTACCTGCATCTGCATGTCTGCACATTTACCTCCAACTCCCCCTCCGACAACCAGTCATAAGTAATATCAATAATACACCGAGCTTCAATGTTTATTTCTAGTGTTCACTATGTGCCAGCGCCATCCTAAGCACTTTACATATAGTAACTTTACATATAATTCATCAACAGTCACGGCCCCCTAAGAGGTAAGTATTGCTGTGGTTCCATTTTCCAGATGAGGGAACTGAAGCACAGAGGTCAGGTGACTGGGTCAAGGTCACAGATCTGGTAAGTGACAGGGCCAGGATCAAACTATTGCCAGACTCTCCGCTAAAGAAGAGGGCTATGGAGACAAGGAGACACACCCCTGGCTTCTGTGGGCTCACAGACCTTGCTTCAGGGACACAAGGAAATCTCATATAAGGTGCTAGATGCCACGGTAACCATGGTGGCCAAATACTAAGGAGACAGAAGGAAAGATCTTTGATCATTCGATCATCAAACACGTATGTTTGAGGACTGAGCAAGACCAATGTGGCGGCCCCTGCCCTTAGGAGGCACAGCCTAGTAGGGGAGACAGGCAACCAGGCAACTCTTACACACACAATGTTTACACTTATTCGTATGTTATACTTATTCATAGTTTAACTCGGCCTGTGATAAGCGCTAACAAGAGAAAGTAAAGGGTCCCGTGAGAATGAGCACAGGTCAAGAGTCAGGGAGGTGGTAGGAGCTGAGCTTAAGCTGTGTGTATGTGTGTGTGAGTGTGTGTGTGTACACATACTCATACCCTCCCCACCCCCGCTGAGGTCCCTGCACTAAGGGCGTGCAATGAAGAGTGCAGTATTGGGCTGACAGGGAGGCCAGTCTGATTATTCTGGAGTGCACTCAGTCTGCCCCCTTCACTACGTACCAGGGCCTCTACAAGAAGCGAGCAGGGGAAAGGATGTCTCCTGATCTGCTGCAACTGGTGAAACCTCTGATGCAGAGAATAAGCTTGCGGCTACTGGCTGCTGGGCTGTGTGGTCTAGTGGTTAAGGTCACATGCTTGGGACCACTTAAGAGCTGGGTGACCAAGGGTAAGTCACTTAACCTCTGAGCCTCGGTTTTCTCATCTGTTAAACAAACGGTGTGGCAGATACTGTAGGGGGCTCATTTAACGCCTTCTCTAATCTACTTCTCCCTTTCCTACCTATTCTAAAGTGGTCCCAAGTCAAGACACTCCCATGGCCCAGCCACCCTTGCGGATAGGGGTGCCCAGAGGTCAAAGCTGTGGCCAACTGTCTTTCCTGAATAAGAAGACTCTTTCGGTAAGAAGGTAAAGTCTTGAAAGGAGGAAGCTTTGTCCTCTTTGCCCTTCCTCCTTCTTCCGGAGGTACGGCAGCCCTTTTGTGACCGTGAGGATTAGGAAGCAGAAAGAGAGAAGCAGCCTGGTTGATTCTTTGATGGTAGCCTTGAGCAGCTGTACCCATCCTGAATCTTATTACAAAATGAATGACTGACTGAATGAATAAAGAACCCTTTACTTGTTTGGGCTGTTTATCAAGTTTTCCGTTGTTTTGAGTTTGATGGGATAAAAATAGAACCTACGTCACTGGTTGTCGTGAAGACTAAACAAGATGACGTGTGTATGTGCCAGGTTCATGGCCTGGTTCACAGCGAGCATCCATATGCTGGTGTTGCTAAAGGGAAAACCTGCCGCCCCTGTGGCAAGTCAGCCACTGGATGGAGTACGGAGGGCAAGGAGCGGGTGGGATGGACCCTACCTCGATCACTGAAGTCGTCAACCAGCAAAATCTCGGCGATCAGCTCCGGGGGCGAGCGGTTCAGCACACTGTGGACGGTGCGGAGGAGGGAGGACCAGCCCTCATTGTGGAAGGGGATGATGATGCTGGTGTTGGGGAGCGCCTCCAGGTAGAGTTTGCTGTTGCAGCTAGAGGGAGACACGGGGGATAGGGAGAGGACAGGTTCAGCTCTCATCTTGCCAAGAGAACTCAGGAACATGGTTTGGCTAACTGCAAATCCCCCTTTCTCTCCAGTGAAAGGTGAAGACACCTCCCTCACTTCAGAACCTTCTTCCGCTTGGCATCCTGAAGTCCTGCCTCCAGTCCCTGCACACACAGCACACAGAAATAAGTATACAACCAACGCCCACAGCGATGGCAGCCAGTGCGGATGGAGCAGCACTGGGGTTCAGTGCTGTACGTGTACGGAACTTGTTTCAGCCTCGACCATGTTAGGAACGCAGTTGCCCATCCTCATGACTCCACGTGGAAGGCAGCCCTTCAGGAGCTCTGGCCTGTCTCCCTGCCCCTGCACACTCCTCCCCAATGGAAGAGAAACCCCTCATCCACGAGTTTGGAAGAGTAAACTGGGCTTCATTGGTTCAGCCCCCTTTCTT